TGGACGTTATGTTCCCTGTGGCACTGCCTCGGATTGTCCCTTCACGGATGTCACTGCACTGTAGGCATCTGCTTGCAAGCAAGGGAAAGAGGAGCCCCTGCCCTCGGGAAAATGCTGACTGGAGCAGCTGCTGGGGAGCCTCACGCTGCAGTTGTCGAATTTAACCTGGCGAAGGTGAGATGCCAGGCCCAAGTACCCTCCAGACCCAGATGGGACCCTCTGCCGTTGCACATGAATAGCAAAAGAGCAGATGGGTTCCTGTTGCACAGAACCTACGAACGGCATGGGGCCGGGCCATCTGCCTCTCCCCAATCTCATCTGCCCGGCAGAGCGCGTTAGGAGCTGTGCTTGGCAGGCCCTGGGCAGCGGACCTTTTCTGATGTGGCACCCGTGCTGTGGAACCTTCTTCCCCAAGGTGAGGTTGGCCTTGTCGCTGCTGAGCTTCTGAAAGTCCCTCAAGACCTGGTGGTGGCAGCAGGCCCAGGGACCCCAGGGGACGGGGGACCTGGTGAGGTGGCTCCCTTATTTTTAATATCCCCTCATCTATTATTTTCTGTTCCGCTTGGATTTTTAAATATTTTTATACTTTTTAAGGTACTGATTCTTTTTTAACCTTGTTGTACACCGCCTAGAGTCGCTTGGAAAAAGTGAGATGGGCAGCGAATAAAGTGAGTGAGTGAGTGAGTGAGTGAGTGAGTGAGTGAATAAATAAATCAACGCCTTTGTTTGCACTGAATCTAAAAGACTCTTCAGACCACGGAGACCAACCCCCCAGCCGGACGGCTGCTGAGCACACATAGCCAAGATCCAGCGAGTGATACCGAGCCTAACCCGTCTGTTCTGTGAGTCCAGTCACTGCGGGCTGCAAATCGCTATTTATTGCTCTGCATCCTAAAGGACGATTAAGCCGTCAGCAGCTTATAGCAAGTGTGAATGTGGATGCTGTGGGGCCCTTCTGCTCCCAGCCAAAGGTTGTCTCCCGCTTGCTCTGATTCTCCCAATCAGGAATTATGCCTCTGTGGCCAAAACACGTGGCAGCGTGCTGAGGTGTGAGATGGGGGGAGGATGTCCCTCTCCTGCTGGTCTTTTAAGAGAGACCCAGGGAGGAGGATGGTTCCTGCCTGCCTCAGTTCCACACCTTCCTCCTGGTGGTCCCTCACCTGTCAGCAGGTGTTCGGCTTGCTCCTCGCGATCCAAGGGGCGCAGAGTGCTGATCAGGCCCGTGTGAGGGTCAACAGTGAAGCCATCCCCAGCGACGCCACCGTACGTCACCTGCCCATTGGTCCCTGCGCAGGAAAGGGAAAAGGGTCTCCTTTTGCCAGTAATGTGGGAACCCTCCGAATCGCACACCCGTCTCTCAATTCCTGCATGGATCAGCTGACCATGGACTGAGCTGAAGGCTCAGCTGGCTAGACGAGGAGGTGGGAATGGGCATGGCTTGGCCTTCTGCAGTTCCCATTTAAACTGGGACCAATATGGTAGGGAGGACATTTCAGTCCCTCTGCAGAACAGTCTCTGAAGGACGAACCACCACCCACATTTGGAGCTGAATCCAGGCTTGGCAGGGAGTCCAGTGGGCAGGGAAGGTCTTGTCTAAGTCTGTCCCATCATTGGACTGGCTGGTCTCCCCTTGGGGAGCCCTGGTGACCCCGTTACAGGTGTTGGCTGGCTCAAGACCACAGCCAACCCTTAGCTTCTGGCTGCTGTTGCTGCCCAGCCAGAAGAGGTGCCCTGGGGCAGCGCAGCGTGCCTGAAGCTTCTTCCCCCAGTGGCGCGTCATCAGGACAAAGTGAGGGCCCAGCCCAGGAAAGGAGGGTGGCTCTTGGTGCTTTCCCAGTTTGGCTGCCTGAGCAGGGGTCTTCCTGATTTTTGCTCCGCTCTGGCCACAGAGAAGGACAGGCTGGACTCTCACCGAGGTCGTGGTCAGTGGCCCGTAGTTGCAACACTGGAACACCAGCAGGAAGGTTTTCAGCCACCTGGCCTTCATAGATGCTTTTCTCAAAGGTGGGTGTCTCGTCATTCACATCCAGCACCTGCACCAAGAGGAGCTGTGTGGCGCTGTGCCGTGGCGATCCGTGGTCCGTGGCCACCACTGTCAAGTTATGCTGGGATGCTTCTTCCCGGTCCAGGGCCCGCACAATGGACAACGCCCCTAGGAAAAGAGCGAAAAGCCAACAAACTCAGCAACAGGGAACAAAGTGCAGTGGGTTGCTCTGCGCATCTGTGCAAAAAAGTTGTGATCCAGGAGGGGGGCGGGTGGGGTGACTGACGGCAGAAGGGGGCTTGGCCGGACATCTGGCCCTGGCTGGCCCTGGCTATGAGACCCGACTGCAAGCACTGAATTGGCCAGCGCAGCTGAGAAGAAGTTTCGCCCGGTGAGGGCGTAATTATGTTATGGATGCCCTGCGGTAATTTGGGAGAAGTTGGGGCGGTTTCCGAACAGCTGTCACAGCTTGCAGGCCGTTCTCAAAGGCAAGAACCCCACACAGGCATGAACCATCTCTCCGGCTGGGCAAGAAGCCAACAAATATTTCGCTTTTGCTTAAAGGGTGCTGCCCTCCAGCATCCTTCCCTCCAGGCACTCTTGAGGCTCTGTCTTCAGGCACCTGTGGGTCCTGCTGGGGGGCCTGACAGGAGTCGATGAGGCCCCAGATGGGAAGGTTCTCCCCAGTGCTTGGTGCCCAGGGGCCTCAGGGCGTTTCTCCTTTTCCTTCTTCCCCCTGCCCGCTGCCCAAGCAGAAAGGGAGGGAAGGCAGTCCTCCCCCGTCCTTCGTGAGGCTCATTCCCTTTGGCCAAGAAATTCAGGGGGCAGCGGTCCCTTCTGTCTCCTGAGGAAAATCTCCCCTCCCTCTCTCCCTCCGATACCAAACCCCTCCTGGCTGAGTTCATGTAACACTTTGGGCCTCAAACCCAGGCTGACAGAAGACATACTGTACCGGGGAGCCCACGCAAAAAAACCCCAAGCCCCTCTCTCGGTCTGGTCCTTCTGGTGCGGACTGGGTGGCCACAAGGCGGTGGACTGCAAACTGCCATAGTTCTGCCTAGTCCAGCTGCTCTGCAAACCCCTCTCCCTCGGGGGTCCTGGAGCTTTTACCAGAAGGAGGGGGGCTTCCACTAAAGCGCCCCAGAGTTCAGCTCACCTGGCAGGGCAGACCTGCCCCCGCCCTGCCTGCGCCCGTGACCGTGAGCTTTCATAACAACAAGATGCCAGTGGGGGCATTTGCCGTACGGTGTGCGGGTGAAATAGGGCCGGCATGCTCCAGCTGGTGGCTCGTCAGGACCACGCCCCATGGGCCCCTGCCGCGGCAGCTGCTTCTGGGAGCCGCCCGAGAGAGCAGAGCCCCGAGGCCAGCCTGGCCTGGCGCCCTGCCGCCTACCCGTGCTGGGGTGGAGGTGGAACCGGCCGTCGAGGTTCCCTGCTCGCAGCGAGTAGCTGACTCGCCCGTTCTCGCCCATGTCCCGGTCCCTCGCCACCACTCGGAGCACCAGAAAGCCGGTGGGCTGGTCCTCGGGAACGTCAGCCCTTGCTGGAGAAAGAAACTCGGGCGCGTTGTCGTTCTCATCCACGACGAAGATATGAGCTGTCACGGCCGCCGAGTGGCGCTGGCTGACGTTGCGGGCCTGGTCTGTGGCCAGGACCGCCAGCAGGAAGGCTGACTGGGCCTCCCGGTCCAGCGGGGCCTGCAGGCTCAGCTCCCCTGTGAGGGCATCCAGCTGGAAGACAGGGCGCAAGGAGTCCTGCCGCAGGAGGTGGTAGCACAGCTGACTGTTGGGCCCGGGGCCGTCACCATCCAGCGCCTGGAAGGTGAAGAGGGCGAGGCCCGGCGTGGCGCTCTCCGACACCACCACCGTGACGGGGTCCTGGGGCCAGGTGGGGCCGTGGTCGTTGCTATCCTGCACGTGGATCTCGACCAAGAGCAGGCGCTGGCTGGGGTAGCCCTGCAGGGAGTCCTCCACGCTCACGTGCAGGGTGTGCCGCGTTCCGGCTTCGTAGTCCAGCTCCTGCGCCAGGAAGATCTCGCCTGTGCTGGCATCTACGACAAAGGCACCGTCCCCGCTGCTGCCCCCCACCAGCACGTAGGTCACTTGCCCACGGGGGGG